TGAGGACCCCCAAGGTCTCTCATGAACATATAACTGGAGGGGCCTTGTGGGATCTGGAAGCCTCAAGGCCAGGGATCTCACTAGGAGATATTTTTCATTCTTCCATTGCTTCCTGTTGGGAAGGACCCCACTGAAGAGGTGCTGAGTCATCCTTACCCTTTAAACTGTCCCATAGAGGTTGGGCCATACACCCATAGTTAGGGATCCAAAGCCTACAGTAACCTGTTAGTCTGAGAAATGCCCTGAGCTGTTCTCAAGTAGTGGGATTAGGGAGTTGTAAGATTCCCTGAAGTCATTCAGGGGAAAGGCTACAGTTTCCAGGAGTCAAGACAACTCCTAGATAAGTGACCTCTTGTTTGACCATTTTGGCCTTGGACCTGGAAACTTTATATCCTCGCTCGGCCAAGAAGTTAAGAGTTTGGACTGCATGCTGGATGGCCTGTTCTCGAGTAAGGGAGCAGATAAGTAGATCATCTACATATTGGAGAATAGTTCCTTTTTCAAGCTGTAAGTCCTGTAAATCTGGGCCAAAGCTTGCCCAAAGAGGTGAGGACTCTCTAAACCCCTGTGGTAGTGCTATCCAGGTTTGCTGGTGTTGATACCCATTGGGTGAGTCCCACTGAAAGGCAAATAAATATTGGGACTGGGGACTAAGGGGTACACAGAAGAAAGCACCTTTAGGTCTAAGGTCATGAACCACTGTGCTCCTGGAGGGACGTTCCCCAGTAACACACAGGGGTTCAGAGCCATTGGATGAAGAGGTACTGCTGCCTCATTTATGATTCATAAATCCTGGACCAGTCTAGGTTCCATTATTTTTAATGACCAGGATAGGTGTGTTGCAGGGGGAGTTAACAGGAATTAAGAGTCCACACTGTAAGGACTTAGAAGTTGTTGGCTGAAGGCCCTTCCTTGCCTCAGGTTTTAAAGGATACTGTTTTCAATTAGGGAGTCAGGTAGGATCTTTAAGGGAGATGACAACCGGAGCAGCAGTCCTTGTCCGCACTGCGATGCCTTGATCCCAGGCAGCGGGATTAATTTTATCTCCCAGGCCTCTGGGTGGGGAGGTCTCTCTCCTTCCCCAGGGAGCAGCAAGAGTTGTACAGAGGTGGAAGTTTGAGGATTTTCTCCCAGGGTAACGTGGGTTCCCAGTTTGTAAAGAAGATTTCATCCCAAAAGGGGACTAGGACATTCTGGCAGGCATAAGAAAGAATATGCAAATGAGCATTTGTCCCATAAACAACAAAGGGGGTGAGTAAGGAATCTTAAGGTCGGTTTACCTGTGACTCCCATGACAGTACAGGATCTAGAGGAAAAGGGTCCGGAGAAAGAAGTTAGGACAGAGTAGGTGGCCCCAGTATCCAAAAGAAAAGTTACTGTCCTACCTGCCACATCCATTCGTACCCACGGCTCCAGCCCAGTGATGGAGATCTCTTGCACTGGGGACACTGGAGGAGGCTTCTTCAGTGCTGGACAACCATCTGCAGGCCTTGGGCTGGTTTTCCCCCGCAAGCCATTTGGCTCGAAAGACAGAGGGCCGCCCAATGACCATGTTGGCTACACTGAAAGCAGGCAGGTCTTGGAGGTTTGTCCCTGTAGGGACATTCTTTGGCCCGGTGACCAGGTCGGCGGCAGATGCTGCACTTGTCGTTGGACTTACTCGCGCTGTTGGGGGCCGGGTATATAAGGACGGTGGCTGCCCTTGAAGGGCCGCTATCATCTAGGCAGGCCTGGCCTCCTCCCTTCTTTTCTGCTCCTGAGCCCTGGCCTCTTGCCCCTGATCTCGATTATAAAAAACTGTGGCAGCAATGGTTAACACTTCATCAAGAGTTTCTCCAGGTTCCTGGATCACCTTTTGGAGTTTTCATCTAATATCAGGGGCAGACTGAGTGAGAAATTTATCCTTTAGGATAATGTGTCCCTCATATGAGCTGAGGTCTGAGTTAGTATACTTAGTAAGTGCCTCCTGGAGCTGCTCCAAAAAGGCAGTGGGGTTTTCTGTGGGCTCCTGACTAACAGCTAACACCTTAGAATAACTGATAACTTTCTGTCGGGCTGCCCGGAGTCCTGCCTTAACATAGATTAAAAATGGTCTCTTTCCCATTTTTGGTTAAGGTCATTATAATCCCATCTGGGGTCCACTGGGGGAACAGCTGTTTCCCCTGTGGAGTACTTGTCGTTAGACAGATGTAGACTGTCTGCATATTTTCTGGCTTCTCTAAGAACCCTTTCCTTTTCTACGTCAGATGGGGTTTGGCAAGGATAATATAAACATCTTTCCAGATGAGATCGTATGCCAGAGTGAGGTGTTGAAATGCCTCTATGTTTTTATCTGGGTTATCTGAATAGCTTCCCAGATCAGTCTTAATTTGTCTCAATTCTACCAGAGAGAACGGCTTATGTGTGAATTGAGGACCAAATTCTCCACCTGTTTCTACCAGAGGGCAGGTCGAAGGTAATGGAGGAGCTGAAGGCAGTATCTTTCCTGAGTATGAGGGAAATGAGGGGTATGTGGTAGGGAGAGCAGGGCAGGGCGTCAGTTTAGGAGAGTCCCCCTCTCTAGGGGGTGTCAGGGACAGTAGGTTATTAGATGAAACTGTTACCTGAGTGGTTAACTTACATTCATATCTTTTACTTACTGAGGGACAGCAATGATCTCCCAGAGGATGTATGGTATTTCAGACCATTTGCCTTGTCTCTTACAGAAGCGATCAAGCTGGAACAAGATGGTTGACTTTATGCTCCCGTTTATAGGCCATGCTTCCTCACAGGGAAGTCGATATTGTGGCCAGGCAACATTACAAAGGAATATAAGTGTTTTTCTTTTAAGGGTTTGTAGATTAAAATGGTCCCAGTTGTCCAATATACAGCCCAAAGGAGTCCCAGCAGGGATAGACTCTTGGCTTCCCATCTGAAAAACAAGGGTAGGATACAGGGGGAGGGTTTCAGAGCTTAGCGTCCTAAGGTGAAAAGCCCATGGACTAGGCTGACGTCTCAGCCTCTGTCCACAACCAAATGCATCCTCGAGTGTAGCCGTGGATCAGCAGTGCCTGGCATCCTAGGGTCCTGATTCGGGGATGGAAGCTGACGTCTCAGCCTCCACTCCAGAAAGGGGGAAACGACCACAGTCTCACTGTGTGCTGGGTGTCTCCGTGGTCTGATTGGAATGATCTCCTTTAGTTTAGCCAGTGGCTGGTCACCCCACCACGCCTTGTGTTCTCAGCTCAGCTGCCACAACCGGCCCCAGAAGCTTGTGCTCCGCTGGCTGGCTTCAGGGAGGGAGAAGGAAATGAAGGATTGGAAAGATTAAGTTTAAGCACGCCATCCGAGTCACGGCACCAAAATTAATGTTACCAGGAAAAGGGAAATAAGAATTACCTCAGTTCTTAGTCACACGAAAAAAATATTTTTGATAAGAAACAGAAAGCGTGATATAAGCAAGATTTTTATTAATGAAGTGAAAAAAGTAAAAGATAGTACACTCCCAGGAACTGGGAGCGGGCCAATCCAAGACAGGAAAAATGGCACCGCTCCCTCGTTTCTCCTGTTTTTTTATCCTGGCTTCATGACTGATTGATTGATTGGCTGACAACTCAGGTTCCCTGCGTTCTGGATCGTTCCTTTCCCCTGCCTCTCCCCCTGCCCAGTGCTTATTTCTAACTAAACTACCTAACAGATGGATATATGCATTTGTGTGTGTGTATGTATGTACATATATGTGTGTGTGTGTATAGAGAGAGAGAGAGAGAGGGAGAGAAAGAGAGAGGGGTTAAGAGATTTATTTTAAAGAATTGGCTTGCACAATTGTGTAGGTTTTGGAAATGTAAAGTCTGCAAGGTAGGCCAGTAGGCCAGAGACTCAGGCATGAGTCCTAAGGCTATCAGCTGGCCGAATTCCTTCTTGCTCGAAGGAGGTCAATCTTTGTTCTATTAAAGTCTTCAGCTGATTGGATGAGGCCCACCCACATCATGAGGGTAATCTGGTTTAATTAAAGCCCACCAATTTTAATGTTAATCTCATCCCCCAAAATATTTGCAGAAACATCTAGAATGATGTTTGACCACATATCTGAGCACCACGGCCAAGCCACGCTGACACAAAATTTAACTACCATGCATGGCCTTCGCTCTGTGCCTATCTGTGTCTAAATCTCCATGTCTTACAAGGAGACCAGTTACACTGGATTAGGGCCTACCCTAACGACCTGATTTTAATTTAAGACTCCCAAATACAGTCACATTGTGAAGTCGTGGGGGGCTAGAGCTTATGAATTTTAGAGAACAAATTCAGCCCATAATGGCCATTAATTCAAAAGTAAGCATAAACAGAAAGACAATTCAAAGGGAAAAACGGTCTTCCTAATACTAAAAATGTGTATTTCATCCAACCTTGGGATAAAGCACATTTTTGAATCCTCAGATAAACCAATCAAATGGAGTGGGAAGTATCTTTTTTATATATTTACATTTCCACAACCTAGAAGACAATTTTGTTTTTCTCTGCCAAGGATATTTATATTATCACAGTAATTAGAGATTAGATTTTTTTAAAAAAATTTCTTATTCTGGTTATATCTGGATATCTACGAGATATTTTGTGTTTTAAAATCATCTTGCATTTTAAAATTTCAAACTAGAGAGCAACATGTAAAATGTTTTTATTTTGAATTATGAACTAATTTGAACTTGCTGTTAAAAACAGAGCCACGTTTCTGCTTTTTCTGGCAATGTAAGAAATAAATAATGGGAAAATTACCAATAAAAAATGAAGGGCGAAAATTAACAAGGGAATATAAAATAAGGACAAAACAGAAAAGACATCTTTAATGGTTCTCTCAAATCATAAATGTAATTTTGCAACATTATCTCTTGTGTTTTGTATCAGTATCTTATGTCACTTACATTTCGCAAATCTGTTTAACTAAAGGGTAAAACCACTTCCCTATCTCTGATATCTCAGAAGCGCTTCTGTTATTTTATTTATTTTATTTTTTTTTGCAGATAACAAAGAGATTTTCCTTTCCAAAGCAATTCACAAGTCCTTCATAGAGGTTAACGAAGAAGGCTCAGAAGCTGCTGCCGCCTCAGGTGCCAAATGATTGTTTTCTAAGATCTTCTCACTTTTTCTAGATTTGCATTTTAAAAGCAATCTTGAGTGGGGGATGGGAGTCATTTTTAGAACCCAGACAAAAACTCCTACTCTTAGAAGTCAAGTTAATGATGAAGCAGCTAGACTGTTCCAAATAGGATCTGAGGCGTGCACTCACCCCAGGGCCCCATACCGAGTAACTCCCATCTCTAATGAGAGGCGGGAGGAAACTGTCAGTTCTACAGAGCAGATTTTCCTGCTGTGCTGCCTGTTTAAATATGTTAAAGATTTCCCTGCTGCCCAGTTAAACATTTTTCTTTCTACCTAATTATTTGTGGAAGTCAGTTCTTAATTTTGGCAGTGAAGAGCTTCAGTTTTTTAAAAGTATATGCACAAACAAGAGTGTTTGATAGCATGCAATAATTTTAAGTTAGTAATAAAATAATAATTTTAAATAAAGAATTTAAAAATTTTGACTTAAATTGTGAGTCCAAAGCAAAATGGTAAATGTCTTTGATTATTTTCATGTTCTGACTTCCTTAGTTAAGTGAGAAGGATTTTTCTGTTGACATTTTTCTTCATTTATTTGTTTGGATTTGTTTCAATATCATGTTCAACAGCCATCATCAAATTTTAGCAGGATTTTTCCTTTCTCTGGTAAAATGTAACATATCATATTTGCACACATTATTTTTAACTTCTGCATACATTTGTCCATTAAAAGGATCTCATCAGCTAAAATGGTGTTTTCAGGAGGAGATAGACAGTCGTCTCAGGCATCGAGAAAGCTTAAAATCCTACGTAATTTAATCTTGGTCTTTCCCTGACAACAAATCACCCTGCAGCAAGGATAAAAATGATTATCCCACAAAAGGGATCTCAGGGGAATTCAGTTTCCCAGCTGTAGGAAACACCATTGCATCTCTCACTGCCATATTTTCTCTTTAATCATTGCTGTTCTGGCCACTTACTAAAAGCCTGTTGACTTGCTAGATAAAAACCTCCATTTCAGATAAAAGAAATAATGATTTGAGAATATAAAGAAACTGTATTTGTTTTTGGTTTGGGGTGCTTTTTGTTCTTTCTTCCCCCTTCCCTTAACTCAAAGGTCATTTTAGGAAAGCCATAAGTATTTACCTGAGACAGAATAAAAATTTGTTAACAGGCAGAATAAACTGCCATATAATTTTGGTGGGATGGTGGGAGGAAACTTGGTATGTGTGTATTTGTTTCTTTTTTAAAGTATCAAGTAGAAATGTTAACACCTTTACAGTTTCTCTCTCTCTCTCTCCTTCTCTCTCTCTCTCTCCTTTAAAAATCTTGTTTTGTATAAATCGTTACCTTTGCATTAACATAGATGGTTTGGAGAAATTACTCATTAGTCCCTGCACATCCACAGACATGTAGTTACTTTCTCTCTGCACTACAGGGATGATTGCAATTAGCCGGATGGCTGTGCTGTATCCTCAAGTTATTGTCGACCATCCATTTTTCTTTCTTATCAGGAACAGGAGGACAGGTAAGAGAACAGAACTTTACTTAATACCAAGAGGAAACACTTTTTTCACGTTGAAAACATTTTCCCGCCTTATGTATCAGATAATTTCTTGTGTTCAAATGATTTTTTAAATGAAAATAATTTATTCACATTTTTACCTTTAGATTATTGCTAATTATAAGCAAGAAGGGAAATAAATATCTTATTCTTTTGTTCACTTTCAACCCAATGCAGGTACAATCCTGTTCATGGGACGAGTCATGCATCCTGAAACCATGAACACAAGTGGACATGATTTTGAGGAACTTTAAATCGTTTTAATTGAATAACAAGGAAAATAGTAACTAAGCACATTATGTTTGCAACTGGTATATATTTGAGATTGGTGTTTTACAATAATATGTCTTAAGATGATATTTAAAATATTTAAAATAGATCCCAATAAAAACAACGTACGTAAATTATAAGCCAACTTGGCAAGGAATGTTACCAGTATTATTGCAGTAATGGTCCTGTCATGTCTTTGTGTTTGTTGTGCTAGTATTTAAAATAAACGTACCTAGTGAACATGTGAACAGTTCTGTTTTTCATTTCAGAACTAGTAGTATAAAGGTACTTCTGGTTGAAACTTGGAAACAGTGATGTTTCTGGACATCTTAAGTCTTTCATAATCATGCAGAATCCAAGCACCAAAGTAAATTAGCATTGCACACTTATACCTAACAAGCAAGAGGGAGGTGAAGACAAGCACTCCACAAAAATTTTAATTGCTGTTTCTCTGAAGACGGTGTATAGTGTAATATAAAAACATGCAAACTGAACATCTTCTGTGTGGCTGCATGACAAAACTAGTTAGGAAAAAAAGTAGGGTGATGCAAACCCATAGATTATAGCAATAGTTTATTTATTATGTCTTTAAAAACCCACTTGGCTTCAGGTGGGTGATGGAGATCACAAGCCTGGTATATCACCATGTTTTGCTGCTACCAGTAAGATTGGAACTACAACATAGTTCCCCAAATTCCCAAAATAATCCATATGAGCAAATTAGTAATAAAAATATGCCCTCTGGTATGTCACTGGAGAGTTAACTAGAGAAACTGTGCTAGCACAGATACTGGAAACCAGCAGGTCAGGGGCTGAAAGCTGCCCACAGGGATGTTCTTGTTTGTTCTATGTAGAAGGTTTTGAGCTTGAGTGTCTGTAAGTGGAATATCACATTCCTTGTTTCTCCCATTGGTTAGCTGATGGCTCTGGGATGCATTTGTGTTTGAGACCTCCTGAGAGTTATAATAAATACTTTGCTCTTATTTTCTAGTATGAGATGTAGTTGATTCCAAGGGAACAGTGTCAACTTCTTAAGTTCTCCAGTAAAATTATTTTGTTATCCTGTGGCTGAAATAATGGTATTCCTTTAGGAGGAAGGGGGCGGGGGGGAAAGAATGGATTCATCATGTTCCATAAATGCAGCCAGGTCCATTAGTGCCAGATTCTGGATTCTATGATAATGGTTTCAAAAGAAGTTTGAAACATTTCAAAATGTAACAGAAACCTTTGTATGTGCCTATCTTGTGTGTTAGGTATTTTGCTATGATGATGATGATGATGATGATGATGATGATGATGATGATGAACTTTAATTCTCTTCAGGAGAGTTGTGGTTTGGAGCAACAAGGCTGACCCTAGCCATATTGAATTCTAAACTCTGAGGAAAAACTTGAACATTTGCATTTTAAAACAAGTTCCCTTGGTGATTTTAATTCACACTAAATCTTGAATATTGCTAAAATACAGGATACATGTGGAACACTTACTTGTATACTAGTTGTTTACATATGGTTAATTTATAGAAAATTAGATCAATCAATGAAGTATCCTTAATCAGTGCTTCTCATATTTATGTGTAATGGAGTCACCTGAGGATCTTATTTTTCAAAAATTGCAGATCCTCTTTTAGATCTGGGGTTGGATCTGAGATTCTGCTTTTCCAACAAGTTCTCAGGTGATGCCATCGCTGTCGGCCCATGTACGTAAGTTGGCAGCAAAACTCCATTTAACACAGGCTTGCATGTTTGATATTTTTATATATGGAAAAAGAAAAGCTGTATAATTTTCATACCACTTAGAGAGATTCAGGAGATAGGGTTGTAGTCTACATTAAAAGTGCAATGAACTTATACAAAAAGAAAAAAATGGTTTTACTCTAAAGCTTTTTCCCCCTAGTCTACACTATGGAAAGATACAAACTTTCTCTGCATATTAGAACACTTGAAATATAGTCTTTAAAAATACAGAGACATTTATAGGCAATGCTCACAAAAGAATTTCTGAGTACCCAACCCAAGGACACAATACTTAACACTGAATCTTTTGCCGCTTATATTTTCGGAAGACTCATAGTTTATTCATAAAGCTGAGGTTATTGTAGAAGTGTTCTTGTTTTTATTTATAAGGCACACAGACTGGGGTAACTAATGTTGATTCAGTATTGATATTCTGAGTTTGTGATATTCTTTTTTACTTTATCACTACTTCTTAAGCATCTATACGTATTACTATATCTGTGTAGTCATTAGTCAACTAAACAAGTCACTTATAAGGAAGAATAAACCTCATTAGACAAGCATGTGGATTTTATAAAGTACAAAATGCAACTTTTATTAGCTGACATAAGATTAAGCTTTACTATTCAGAATGTTTACCTTAAAATATTTCAATACAATTTAGATGTCCCTTAAATGAAAATGGATTCTGCCTTATTATTAGCATGTTTGTGGAATATTTAAAAGTTGAGTACTTAATAGTACCAAGTTTTTCCTATTGTTTGATTTTGTTTATAATTTCTTCAATATTTCCCTTTCTGTTGAAAAAGTAAATCTTTTAAAATTGAAGTCTAATTGATTTACAATGTTGTGTTGATTTCTGGTGTATAGCATAGTCATTCTTTTATACATACATATATTCCTTTTCATATTTTCCATTATAGGCCACTGTATGGTATTGAATATAGTTCCTTGTGCTTTGTTGTTTATCCATTTTATAATATAGTAGTTAATATCTACAGATCCCCAGTTCCCAATTTATCCAATTTATCCCTCCCTACCCCCTTCCCTGCTGGTAACCATAAGTTTGTTTTCTATATCTGTGAGTCTGTCTCTGTTTTGTAACTAAGTTCAATTGTGTCTTTTTTTTTTTAGATTCCACATATGGTATCATATGGTATTTTTCTTTCTCTTTCTAGCTTACTTCACTTAGTATGATGATCTCTAGGTCCATCCATGTCACTGCAAATGGCATATTTTATTCTTTTTTATAGCTGATTAGTATTCCATTTTATATATATATAAATGGCACATATATATATATGGCACATATATATAAATGGCACATATATATATATGGCACAACATCTTTACCTAATCATCTGTTAATGGACATTTAGTTTGCGTCCATGTCTTGGCTATTGTAAATACTGCTGCTATGAACACTGAGGTGAATGTATCTTTTTAAATTAGAGTTTCCTCTGGATATATGCCCAGGAGTGGAATTGCTGGATCAGAGGGTAAGTCTATTTTCGGTTTTTTAAAGAATCTCCATACAGTTTTCCATGATGGCTGCACTGAACTACAAATTACCCAGGACATTTTTCACAGAACTAGAACCAATAATGCTAAAATTTATATGGAATCACCGAGA